TGTTAAAAAACCCTGGAAAGTTATTAGCGTGAAAATTGCAAGTGATTGAGAAAAGTTAGGACGAGAAACGAGGCAACTCGAATTCGCAATGCAATCGAAATGGGATTGGAGTAGACGGTGCATTCAAGGTGCACTAAGAAAAATGAAAAATATTGAAAAATGAGGAATCAATCACATATTTTGAGGTATTTTTAATTGATTTGTGATTAATTTCTTTAGAACACAAAAATGTCTTAATCTTCTTATTGGTTTTGTTATCCCTTTTATTTAATTAATTAACTAGTAAAGTCTTTATTTTATTTTGTGAAATCATAATTCTTGCAGTAATTATATAAAAATTTTATTTGTTTACAAAATAAATTGAGGGGGAAAATTAAATTATCTTTAATAATCTCTTGTGGTTAAAATAAATAAAGAAATCTATATTGATTCCAGTAAGGTTCTTGATTATATTTTCTTAAATCCTAAATATTTTCCATAATTGTTGTGAATTGTTTTTAATTTCGATAGAAATGAAAAATGTCTTTAGCTTCTTATTTCAATTTAAATAATCTCTAATTTTATTGACAAGCCAGTTAAGTCTTGGGACATCCTTGAATAAAACTCGTTAACATTCCCCATATACTCCCCAATGTTTCCCATGAAGAAAACCCCAACTTGTAAGCTTTTTTTCCCACCCCATCAAAGTGCTGCACATTGCCAATCACTTTGCCCTGTCCCAACATCTTCAATTAGCATAAACTCAGCATTAACCCAAATAGGCAAGCGCCGACGGCGGCAACTTTAACCCCTTGAAAGCCGAGATGGGCCAAAAGGGAGAGAGATTTATTTGAGCGTAACGGCGGCAACAATGGGGATAAGAAATCGAGGCAAGATCAAGATAGACAGCCGCCGAAGATGCAACACACGGGGGCACAAATGCACAAATGAACAACTGAACAAATGAGGCTGGAACCAATGGATGGGTCTGTTCCCTAGTGAGATCGACACAAAAGAATCACATCTTTTTCCAACTTCGATATGTGTGGTGTGGTGTGTTGTGTGTGTTGTGGGTGCTGTGGGTGCTGTGTTGTGATCCGTGTTGAAGCCGTCGAGTTTTATTGTTTTATTTTGCTCTTTTCGGCTTTTCATGGTTTCGTACGCATGAGATTGACAGTTGGTTGTCACATAGTCCCCCCCTTCTTTTTTCGCCCGAAACTTCCCCGCAATTATTTGCAACTGTTGCAAGTGCACAATTTTCAACACTCGCTGGTTCTTTTGTTGGTTTCGTTTCTTTTTTTTCGACAGTTTTTTGGGCTCTTGCATTTGCATTTTAAATTTGTTGTTTGTGTGGCAATTGTTTCAAATTGTAATTTGTTATTGTTTAGAGTTCATTTTGCTGCTATGCTTGGGCAATGTTTGGCTGCCACATGTGCCACCAGTCCCACCTCCCACACTGCCACACTGCCACACTGCCACCCACAATTGAAGGTCGCTGGGCTGACTGCGCTGAGATAATTCACACGAGAGATCTACAAAGTCATAATATAATTCCACATCTGGTGTGCAAGAGAATTACTTTTAACTACATTATTATTTAACTTATAATACTGCATTTTAAATAAACAAAAATGGGGGTAATGTTATGACAAGTTGAATACAAATTTTGGTGTCAAGAAATCGTTTGATCAGCAAATACTAAAACATTCTTACAATAATTGTTTATATATTAATTGATATTTGCAACAACCATAATGTAAAAATTGTATGTATTGTTAGTATTAATCATTAGATGTTAGTTTTTTAAAGTTCCAGATAAAGGATTTGTCAGTACAAAATAATATTTATTACTATTATTTATGTAATTTATTATTGGATACTTGGATTATTTTTTAAATTGTTTAACCCTTTTTATATTTTTAGCAAATCGATGGCTATACTGCTGGTGAGGATTATCCCGCCTACGATGCCGTGCCCAAAGGTCTGGCCTTCAATTGCCAGGGACGCCAGCCGGGTTACTATGCCGATACAGAGACTCGTTGTCAGGTGGGATTTAAACAAAATTAAACAAAATAATTACCAATATAAAGTAGAAAATTAAAAACAAGAACTTTCATTAACAAATCCTGCAAAAGCAAAACAAGTTTTCAAAAAAAATAAATTAAAACTAACTTAAGTTTCAAAATAAAAGTCAATATCAAGTAGAACTTTCAAAACTCCCTTAATGGATCACTTTTGGATTAAGCTTTACAAACTACAAACGAGTGTTTTTTTTAAATGTGCCAACAACAAAAAACACAAATGATTTGTCAATCACCATTGATTATGATTTTTAAATGTCAATTTACTATTTAATTCCAGGTCTGGCATTGGTGCCTGCACTCTGGCCACCAATACTCCTTCCTCTGTCCGAATGGAACGGTTTTCAATCAGGCCGTAAGGGTCTGCGACTGGTGGTCGAATGTGAACTGCGAGGGTTCGGAGCAACTCTACCAGAACAACGACGAATTATATCGCATCCCAGAGCGCCAGCAGCAGAAGAATGAAGTATGATATGAGGCCGATGATGAGTATAAGATTGGGACAGCAAACGGAACCAGACAGCGCGGCGGAAGACATCGGCAATTTCAAAAGCAACAGCAACAGCAGCAGCAGCAGCTGCAATATCAACAGCAGCAACATCAGCTACAACTCAACAGCAACATCAGCGGAATTAATAGCAACAATAGAATCGTAGATAGCAGCGACTACAGTAAAATGACCAAAAATAGCTTTAGAGGTAGCATGAGATTTACCACACCAAGTACCAATCCTCAATCGTCATACTCATCATCACAGCAGCAGCAGCAACAGCAACAGCAACATCAGCATCAAAAGCAACATAATTCTAGTAAAAATAGCGAAAGAAAATCAAAGCCTAGTAGAGTTAACCATAGAGATAGGGAAAGCAACCAAACTAGATCTAGGAATCGTCCCCATAATACCCTTCAATCCGGCAACAAAAACAACAGCAACAGCAACAGCGCACGAGGCAAACAGCGATATAATACAAATAAATTCGAAAATGATGCGGAGCTCAAGGATTACAAGAGCAAGATCAAGAACAAATACAACATCGATTATGATCATTCTTTGGATGAAGAATATGAAATAATCGAGGCCATCGAATGAGTTTAATTAGCTTTGTACTCGTTGTTCTTGTTGTTGTTGTCACAAAAAAACTTAAAACCCTAAATTGGCGCTATCCCAAAAGTTTCGAGTGTTCCCCAAAATTATTCATTGTAAATATGTTAAAGAAAAACACATTCCTTTCATTGTTAAATATACACACCAACTTTCATCTTCATTTAAATTTGTAAAGAAAAACTTTGCTTGTGATGTGCACAAGGGCAAAAATAAAATAAAAACAATTTAAAAATATAACCGACTTTTTATTAATAAAAATGATTTGAGAAATTATAAATAAAAAAAAAGAAAATTTTGTGGTATTTTAAGATTTTTGCTGGCACTTAAAAGGTTTGAAGCAAGGAAAACAAAATACGAGAACTATCTCAGCTTTTGTCAGTGATCAACTCAAGCTATTCATAATTCACCAAAAAAAAAATTAAGAAAATGAAATTGCACAATATAAAAATATATATTTTATTTTTCAACATACGCATCACTGAATTTCATTAGTTTATCTTAACCAAGGGACTAAATTTTTGAATTAAATTTTGTTGTAGGCCCTGAAAATAAAGACTCATTCACAAAACAAATTCACGGAGAAATTTAAAATTGTAATGATTTTTGTTTCAACAGAAAATGCAATCAGGCAGTAGGAATAAATTTAAATAACTTCCAGAAAATCTCTAAATCTAGTCAACTTCTTCGAGTTTCCGTTTACCCAATTCTTTGAAACTTGGCAATTATATTCATTTATTCACACAAAGCTTTGGGAATTCAAATCCATTCATTGGATTCATTCATCGAGGGGTCTCAACTTACTTGAAATAAGCTTTTGATCATATGGTTTGGGGTTTCGAACCGACAACAAGTGCAATTTTTGAAGTAATCTGATCGTTCTGCAACGCTTTAAGTTTTTACTGTTTATTTCTTTCTTAAACAATTCTGCTGTAAGTATTGTAAAAGTATATACAACCAATTCAAGTTTTATATACAATTTTTAGGGCTTTGTATATTTAATTTTCAAAGAAATAAAACTTTTGTCTTACAGATTCTTTCTAGAGACCGGAAGTAAAGGAAAACAAAATAGGAAAAGAAGACAAGGAACACATTTGTTCAAGATGAAAGAATGGTTATTCTTATTTTTTATAGATCTTGTTCTATATTACGTGACAATGCCTGGACTGCCAATTTGGGCTTTTTTGCTTTTCAGGCTGCTATTTTCAACTCAGACTATAACAAGGTTCGCCGTGATTGCTTTTAACTACGGTGCCAAGACGTATTTACTCCCGTATTGTGATGAATGGCTTACCGAAATGGAAAAAGATTTACAAAATGTGTATAACAAAACGGAATGCCTCGATAACAGTTCTTAAGCATTTGGACCTTAAACAAACTTAAATATTCCTGACAGAAAAATTGCAAACTAAGATAATGGATGGTGAATAAAAGCTTTACGAAACATTTATATGGAAAAACATAACAACGTGATCAAAAGTAAAAAGAACAAAAATTATTAACAATACAAAAAAGCGTTTTATAAGTACTTTTTGCTGAGCTAAGCAGTTGAACCAGAGGGCTTAAGGCAATGAAAAGTCAAACACTATGGGTATTTTAGCTTTTGTCAGTGATCAAATAAAGCTCTTCAAGAAAGCTAAGTTTGAAAATATCAAGAAACAAATATATAAAAATTCAAAAAGAAATGGTTATATTTATGAACCTATTTTATTTTAATACTAATTTTAGTTTCGAAAGACATTCGTTCTATCATACATACAATGTTTTACATAGCAAAAAATATTTAATGCAATTAATCTCAGCTTGGTGGGAATAAGCTTTTAATCATTTGGTTCGTGGTCTGCGAAACGACAAGAAGTGTGTTTTTTAAGTTCGATTATTTCGATTTTTATAGTTTATTCTACGGTAAGTTTTCTGTTAGTTACTTTTATTCTGCACAAACAAACCGATAAGTAGTTCAATATGTAATAGTTTTAATTACAACTGCAATCAACAAAAATCGACATCTTCTACTCTTTTTTTTTAAGGTCTGAAACAAAGCAGAAGTAAAGGATAAAGGAACAAGATGTACAAAATAATGACTATAGATCTGGTTTTATATGCTGTGATAATGCCTGAATTTCCTTTGGGACTCTTCTTGATTTTTATGTTGCTTTCCTTTTTAAATCCGTTCATAAAGTACGCCGGCATTTTACTCTATTTTCTTTGGAAGACCTACATACTCCCATATGTTATATAATAAATGGCCAAACTGGACAATTAAGATTCCGAACAGGATGTTCATCCCCATATTTAACTTTGTATCCAGTACTCAATTCAGATCAACAAACTTTAACATGCAGTTTAAATTACTATTAACTCCTCTTTTAAAACTGTCCTTGCCTAAGATTTAATTTCCATAAACCAAAATATATATTTTGATTTTGCTTATCTAAAAAAAAACAATAAATTAAATAAAAGACATCTCTCTTTACGAAGTTCAGAGCGGCAAACAAATTTATACAAACAGTTCATGTGATTTTCTTTCCTTGAGTAAACAAAACGGAGACCCACAAAATAAACAGTCGTTGATTTGCTGACTTCGGTCAGTACAAAATGCTGTCACAAGCAGAAAATTATAAAATGTTTTGTTTTTAAACAGCAAAAAGCTGTTGTCCACAGTAATTTTAGCTTTTGTCCGCAAGGCTTTAAGACTAAACGTAAACTTGAACTTTAAAGGTTTTAAAAGCAGTCTTTGCATCAATCAATTATTTAAATGTAGGGGCAAAAACCATTTTAAACAAAAATAGAATTTTGTATGTGATTTATATATTTAAGTTTTACAATTAGTTTAACTTTTAAAAAATATTTTTCCAGTAAAGCTTTCCCGTGGAGCTTTATCTGATCTTCATATATATATATATATATATATACACAGTTTAATATCTATAGTTGTCTCCCTTGCACATTAAATCTCTTTAAAGCTAAACTTGACAGCAATCAGCTGTTAGCCATATGGTATCCAGCTTTCGATCAGACAAAAAAGAAGAAGCTTGGCAAGTATCAAAAATTATTTGTTTGTGTTGCGACGTTTGTGTTCAATTTTGTTTATTTCGATAAGAAGATAATGTTTATATAGCGTTGGATAAATAATGCGGTAAGTAGTTTGGCCCCCTAATGACCTTATGATAAGAGCTTTATAAAATGCGAGTACAAACACTACCAGCATTGGGAAATGTACACAAACGCGGCCTAAATGGTTGGTGAATGTTCACTGTGACGTTGAAACGGGAAGAGGAAGCTGAAAATGGTTAGCCGACATAATAAGTTAGCTAATCGCCCTTCACTGGATTAGCATCTTCCGGAATAGTTTTGAAGCAAATGTGGGAGGTGGCATTATAATGTAGATGATGTTAAGATTAAATAAGTTAGGGTAAAAAAACAATTGTTATAATTGTCTATCAACCTTGTATAGGTAGATTTTTTTAAATGCAATATTAATTTGAATATTTCTACTTTTTATTATCGATTATACATACACCCAAGAAAAGTTGTCATAGAAACAAAACTGTTGTTACATGAATTTTAAATTATTTTGAATGAATATAAGTTATAAATGGTTTAAAAATAAGGCCTTAGACTAAAATATATAAATAAAACTGAAAAGTATAGGTTACATTATTTAATATTTATTTAATACTTTTACTTCAATACGGGCTGTAGTTTATTTAAAAGTCTCACTTATTAAAACTAAATTTTTAGTTTTTCTTTATTGCGTGTACGTTATGCGATTAAAATTATTTAGAGTTTTGGGTGCAAACATTTTTTTTTAAATCTTTAAAATTATTTTATTCATCAGATTGTTGTTAAAGTTACTGCTAAAGCAACCCTATGACTTCTTAACTCTAAACAAAAAATTCAAATACGAAAACGTACTCAAAAGGTGTTGAAAACTTGTGCAAGTAAAAACGAGTGCAAACACCTCCTGTAATCTATGTGTGCCAATCATAATCGTTACCCATCGAGTGGATGTGTGGAAATACATCCACACCCCATCCACACACACAGCCACCCAACCGAATTTAAATGAGAAGGAAAAGAGTTGGAGTTGAAGAAGTAGTTCAAGTTTTGTATGCCCCAACGGGAGACTGATATATTTCGTTTCCGCGTACAGCAAAGCGAAATAATCGCAGGTAATTATATACCATATATACTATACTATACACCTACGCAATGCCAGTCGTTCGTGCATAAGAAATAAGCCTACAACTGCTACAACCGCGGAAATATCGCGTCTTTAGGCAAATGAACATACGAAATTCAAAATCCAAATTTAAATCCAAATCGAAGCCAAAACGCAAACCAAAGGCCTAATTAAAAGTCTATTTAAATTTCAGTCATTAACCGAAAGCGGCACAATTTGTGACACAGTTTTGTTTGGCACCATTAACCCACCCTCCACGTTAACCCACGAGTGGCCCCCAGCTGCTGGGAATTATAAATCACAAAATGTTACTTTTCTTGACCATTCACCCACATTCGTTTTTCCCCACATTTCGGTTCACGTTATTTTTTATGGGCTAGACGACAACAAAAGCAACCACGAACTGTGGTAACTGGAGTCAAGTTAACACCATTTGCATTATGTAAGAAGCTTAAACAATATTTTTTTGCCTCTTCCATAGACCAATGTGGCTATGATTGTTGTTTCTTTGTTACGATTTGCTGGAAGTGTCCACTAATTAATATGCAACTAAATAATTTACAATGTGACGCGAATTTCATGCAAAATATGAACAGAAATGCGATGCGACATGATGAGGGCAGAAGGCGGAGCAAAACAAGAAATTATTTCATTAACTCGGCTTTACGATGTTGAAATTGTATTCAATAAATTGCGCAAATTAAATTCATTTACCAGAAGGGATGCTGGGATTTGGCTTGAGGAAGCTTAAATGCTCTTACAAACTTTGGGAAGAATACAAATAATTTAATAATAATATTTAATAATTGAAAAATTATATATTTATACGAAATTTCTTAATATATGAAAAATAATTAACTATATAATATATTATGTAAGCACAACAAAATAATTTATATTAGTTTAAATAAATATTACCTTAAAAATGAATAAAAGATTCCTGTTTATATTTAGATCTTAAAATAGGGAAATGAAAACAAGAGTTATTTGAGTCTTTGTTTTTTATTTAACAACTTAACGACTAATACTCCTTATACTCTTGTCTTTTTAAACTCTATTTAGTTTGCCCCCCAAAAAAAAAATTAATCGGAACAATTCCAATTGCCTTCTAAAAGCAAATAATTACAATAACAATACTTTTTATGCCTGCTAAATATCCTTGAAGATTTTCAATATTAAATTTGTGTCAACGTTTTCTAAGAGCATCTTCAAATGACCAGTTGGTGCAAAGAAACATAGAGTATGAAAATCGGCAAATGTCAGAAGGTCTTTCAAGGTGTCTGGGTCTGGTCTCGAAAAACCGGTAGATCCACGCACAAGCTCACCGCTCGAAACTGAATCTCATCTTCGCTGTGGAGATGTGAAGATGTGGAGAGGCTGCTTCTGCGAAATCTTCTTGACCATTTTGGTCGACCTGTCACTGTGAATCTGGCCGGAGTGTTATTCTGCAGACTCTGCTGATTTTATGCGACAGTTCAACTTCAGCATTTGCCATTTTTGCATCCGACAATTGGCAGGAAGAGACGCACTCTAAAATCCTACTCGTAAGCGAAGGCTATCCACTTTGTATGCCATATTTGCAACTGGTTTTTTTGTTGTTTTTTGTGTTTTTTTTTTTGCCTCTGCCCATTGCAGTTTGGGTTTTTTTTTCTGTCTTATAAATATGTTGCGTCTTTTTCGCATGCGTTTTGAAATTAATGCAAAACATTTCGAGGCGGCTCGTTTTCCCAGTGCTCCAGCTGAGAGTCGTCTTTCGAACAGGTCTCCTCCAAGTTGAAGTTGATTTGTGTGCTTAGTATAATTGCTGCGATTATCGAGTTGCCGAAGAGGAGGCTTCTCCCCCGCCTGCGCCTCCTCCTCGTCTCTTCACCATTTTTCGAACATCTCGTCTTGGGTAAGGTTAAGTCGGTTTGCGTTAAGCGATTGTCAAGTGTATTCAAATCCAAAAGATGCAATCTTCGGCCAGTTTTGACTTGGGTCTGTCTTGAATTGTCGATCTGCCCGCTGACGAATGGCAGCTGGCAGAGGCTTAGTCTCTAAAAAAAAGGGGACAAAAATACCATACAAACATTGCAGTACTCACAGTGATTTTGATCATGATTGCTAAATTATAGGTAAAGTGGTAACCATTTATAGCTTGGGTCCCCTTGGATTGACTTGAATTTTTAAGTTTATAAGCATTTTAAATATAAATAAACAGGGTCAACTGCCAGTTCAAGTAACAGTGATAGTTGATTGATCTTTGAACCATTTTTAATTGAACTCTTAAATTTTAAAATTCATAAAAAAGATGAAAAATTAGGATTAAAGCGTTCATTATCAGGGTCATCATGGAGGTGAAGTGGACTAAACAGTCTTTGTTTGTTTTCAAATTTTACTGCCTCATTTTTTTATGATTGGGTTTATTTTAGGTCTTTAGTTTGATAGGTTGTTTTGGGATACAAAAAATTTGATTGTTTTTAATGACTTTAGTGTGCAAATTACCAAAATGATGATGATTTTGTAAATGAGTCTATTTATGGGATTTTAAAGATTACAAATTTGTTAATTTGTAAATTATAAATTAATTTCTGGGTGAAAAAATAAATGATCAGTGGAATAAACCCAAATTTGTTTGATACATTTTTAGCCATTCTTAAAACATTAATTAATCAAAAGTTTCAAAGTAATTAATTATGAAAAAAACTGTATTTTGTTTACTAGACTTTAAACTAGTCTTTCAGCTTTTCATTTGATTAACATATCATATGAATTTTCAATCCATTCTTTCTCTTTCTACTTATATTTTATTACAAAACCTTTGGCTAAATCAAGGTTTACTTTAACAAATTCGATCTGGTTTTTCAGCCAACCCATTTATCTCTTTGCATATTAATATTCAATCTAGCCAAAAACCATTTTCCATGCTAATTAAGTAATCCGACCTGCCCCAAGCATGAAATTTCCATAAGATCGATGGGCAAGGCAAGTCTCCTATTTCGGTCACACCTTGTGCTCCATTTTTTTGGACCACTTTTTCGCAATCCAATTTGTTTACCCTTTCGTTTGGCTTTGTGTGTATATCAAATTAATTTCCAATCAAATTAAAACGAAATTTGTTTTTACAGGGAGCCATTATAGAGGTCTGAGCCAGCGAAGAAAGAAAGGTGAAAGAAAGGCCGAAATGCTCCGAACAAATTACCATAATTAAGGCGCCTGCCCAATGGCTGACCATTGAGAGATATAGCGAGAAATACACGCACTTTTGTGCCGCGCTCATCAACAATCAACGCGATCAAATGCAAATGAGGCGACATCAACATCAGTCAAGGCGCCGAAAGCGAAATGTGCATCATCACGAAAGACACGAAAACTTTGGGCTAACAATTGCATAATCGAGCTAACCGAACACGACCTCATTTACAAAATCGCAAAACCCTGATCGGCCGACGAACGCAACACGAAGCAGATAGATCCAAAGTTTTGCATTGAGTATACGCAACGTGGACCGCAATAATGGATCTAATGGAGCTGCTGCATCAGATCTTTCTGTACATATTCGACATTTTTAAGATCTACATTAAGTTTGCCCTCATCACACTGGTTATCTACTTCCTGGCCGAGTGGTATATCCTTCGTTATGGGGCAGAATTGGAGGCCGAATTGGATGCCCATCTGGTGGAAGGTGCTGAATTGAGAGACGAAACCCCGGAGCGACCTGAATCGAATAGCACTCTGAGCAAGGTGTTTCGATTCGTGGTGAACTTTTTCATCCTATAGCCGACTCGATTGAACCCACTTGTCAAGGTCAATCGCACAGCTGAATCGGTTTTGCTTTTTCGCGGAATTACAATTCGATTCAGGCAGCCACAGCTCAAGGCTCTCGTCAAGAGAATGTAAAATCGAACCAGTTGCATTTAACAACAGAAAAATACAAATACAAAACAACAAAAAAATACAATAATACAATAAAAACAACAAAGCAAAAGCTGCAAAGTAAACACAATCTTTATATGTAATAAACAATAACAATAAGGAGCTGTAAAAAACAAGTTGAACTGCTTTTTTTTTGGAGGTATCATAAGGTATCAGTATCGAACATTACATTTGGTTCGGTTGGGCAAGCAACTAAGAATGACTCAAAAGCATTTGGGGGTGTGGTTTTCATGTATTTGGGCTAATTGCTGGGCAGTTGGCAACAAAGCCGCAAGAAATTAACATAAAAATACTTTTAAATTGCATTAAAGGAAGTGCAATATAAAGTAAATGTCTTTTTTAATAGACTTCTTCAGAATAATGGAATACATTCATCACAGATGAGTTGCTTCTTGAATCTAAATAATAAAGGAAACAAGAGATTTTATCAAAAAAATCTAATTATTGCACAAATAAGGTGATTTAATTTTTTTCTTTAAAGGTTTCTTTCCATACTTGCTGTTTATTAATTTATTTCAGTTGTTTTTTATTCAAAAATTCAACTTGTGTCTTTTTATGACTGGCTTAATTACAATTTGTATGCAAGACGTTAAGCACTTTTTTCTGATAATGTGTATAAATTTAAATTTGTAAAGTTCAATAACTTATTGTTGCGGCTTTTTTTAATGCTAATATTCGTAATACTTCCTCGGCAATTTAATAGTTATCGCGGACCACCCCTTTTGAACAAGTACACTTTTCACAAAATGGAATTTTTATCAGAGCTATCTAAACTACCTGGCAATAGTCGACTTTGGATCTATTGATCGGTGGATGGTTGTTGTTGGCTTGTCGACCAGTTAAGTAGTAGTTACAACACGTTGTGTCTGTGTCGACTGTTGATATTGTTAGTGTTGTTGGTGAGTGCTACCTGCAACAAATGTGGAATACCGGTTCAACAAACCGTTCGACCCACACAACGAAATACATTTAAAGAGCCGGGCGACACGGTGCTCCCATTCTCACACAGATACGTGTGTAAGGGACACAGATACAAAGTTTTTTTTGAACGTAACTAGATGTGAGATGTGAGCCACACGGCACACGCCGTTGGCGATAAAGCACTCGACAATTCCGCATGCTACAAATACAGATACAGATACAGAAAAAGATACGCTAAGCCTGGCTTTATACCAATTTGAATACTCAGGCTGCCTAACAGTTGAGTTCAGCTCGCTTGAGCTGGGCTTAGTGTTCAAATTCAACTTTCACATACGGAACGAGTGCAGATGCAGTGCAGCTGTATTACTATTAATGCTGCTACTACTGCCACTGCACAGAGAAAAAATATACATATTTTCTTAGCTATTTAATATTTTATGTACCAACAAATCAAGATAGAACCCTATAAAATAATAAAATGCAATCACAAAATACAAAATCAAAAAAAAAAAGTTAGTTGGCTTAAATATCTACCGTCTGTTCCAATTTGTTATATTTTTGGACCTCTAAAATAATGCATACATCGCTATATATTTATTATATTAACAAATAACATTTATTATAAATATTATTTATTTATTATTATTCATTAAAACAAGTTAGCTTATGCCTTTTTTCTCAATGTACTCTAAGCCAAAGCTGCAGTACTTAGTGACGTAATAGAGGGGGACGGGTGATATGTTGGGGGCTAGAGCGAGGCGGAGATATAACAGTGAACGGCGCTTGATTGATTCCATTATGAAGAGAGCCGCGAAATGTTTTGCATTATTTTGCATTCGAAACGAATTTCGATCTGTGGTTTTCGGTCAATGAAAATCCAGCCCGAAGTGCAGTCTTGACCAACTACCGCGACCAGCATTTAATTGCCAAACGAAGCGAGGCACTCGAACAAGCTAACCACGCGGCGTATGCGCAATAATTCATGAGGCTTTTTAATAATGTTTTGTTTATTTACTATTGTGAGTCTTGTGTCTGAGGGCCTGCTTTTGTGTCTAATGCGTTGGCAGATGGCTTGAGTCCGTTTTGGGCCAACGCGGTTCATTAATTGAACTGTAACCGTAATTTGGTTGTGTTATTGTTACCATTATGTCATTGCGGTCACCAGGTAGTTAAGGAAAAAAAGAAAGAAAGAAAAGCATTTAAGGCACAGGCACATTAGTTGGCAAATCGATAATGGATCGCGATCAATTTATTAAGTAATTTATTGTAGGGTAAAATTATCTTTGCCATATAAAAGAAATCGGTTTTAATCGGAAGTGAAGGATTGTAAAAGGAAATGGATTTTTTGTTACGATTACCATTTATAAAAACAAAAAAAAATCATTTCATGTATTATTTAATGCCGTTTACTCTAGCATAGTATTAATATATAATTATATCGTTTAAGATAAATATTATTTAATAGATAGAGCAGGTATATTCAAATTTATTATTAGCTGACCTTAAAAAGCGTTTATTTATTTATTGGAGGTATTAACTGTTATTACAATTCAACGATTATATTACCTAAAATTAAAGTTAAATTTACAGAGGCTATAAAAATAATAAAAATGGCTCCATTCATTTATCAAATGTTATGAAGCTAATCAAACTTAACAGCTTGTAGAACCATTAATTTCAGAGACAAAAATAAATCATATTTTTGATTTTCTTATGTTAAAATTTAATAGCAAACTGTAGTAAAAATAAGCGAATAGGTTCTTTAATTAACCAACTCATGTGTATAAATAAATATATAAATACAAGCAATAATTCACATATGCAATTTAAATATAGTCCACCTTTCCCGACAACTGCTCTGATAAGCCCATATTCATTTCTGTTACATTTTTTCAATATTTTGCAAGAAATCGAGTAAAAAAAAGGTCTGAAAAAATCTTAATCAATAAACCTGTTAAGCACGATTATCAGGCAACCGCCAAGTGAGCAGCACGCTCAAAATGCAAAGCAAAGGCAGCGCAAAGGCAGGGCAAAGTCAGCAAAGTCAGGGGGAAATACAATTTCAAAGGCAATCCGATTGCAGAATGTTGACAGAGGAAAATGGACAAAGTCAGAGCCGAGAAAAGCTCGGCTTAGAGAGTCAAACCCAAGCTCTACGAATTCGGTTTTGTTGTTTTTTGAATACTCTCCTCCGTTCGGTGACAACGTGCTGCGCATGCGCAAAGTCGGCATCGAAGCGGCAATAAACCCGTTTTGTGAGGCGCAGACGGACCAAAATTAGCGAGCGTTGAGCTTTCGACGGAAAAGCAAACGCAAAGCCAGCCGAATTCCCATTTTTATGCCAACTCCGAGTTGGCCAATACGATCTGCAATTTCAGTCTGCAAGCGGTCAGCCAGGTGAACGGCAGCCAGCACAGCTGGTCTCTTAAGTAAGTGGGCGTGACCGATCGGGTGCATATATATGCATATATATATATATATATAAACACTATATATATACACGGTTGCCTCTGTGCGTGAGAGAGCTGGAAAAATTATATAAAAAAAAGTGATTAAAATAAATGGAAAATTCCAAAAACCAATTGAGCTACCGAAAACAGCTATAAAGTGTTCAAAAACTGTGTGAATTCCCTCGGAAATCCTTTAAACAAATCACTCAAAACTAATCACTTTTAGTTGGAATTAAAAAGAGATAACCGCAAAGGCAGTTACAAAATCAGCCAAACAACAATAAAAATTTCCACAAGTGCACTAACACAAACACAGGCCCACAAAGAAAACTGCAGCATTAATACAAGTGCAAAAAAGAAAAACATAAATGATGTTTTTGCCTTTGTGTGATTTTGCGTGCGTTTGCGTTTGTGTGAGTGCCAACATTTATGAGGCTATATTTTTATTGTTCATTTAAGAAACGCATTAGAACCAAACAAAATCAGCTTTAAAAATTTGGAAAAAAAATCAACATAAGGAGATAAAACCAATGCAAATACATTAAACCCTTTTTTGGATTATACAAAACTCATTTCGATCGTCCGTAAAAAAAAAGGTAAGTTTGAAAATTTGCATTTGCTTGTTAGAGGGCTCTGCAGAGCTTATTTACAAGTCAAGTACCTCAAGGGGACTCAACACCAATTTACACACCCTTCCTCCTACACAAAAAGAAAATATTGCCATTAAAAAAAAAAAAATTATAGCTCTTTAGTCTTGCGGAATTTTTTATAAAATTAAAAAGGTAGATTAAAGTGACTAAAGATATGTTTTAAAGAAACAAAAAAAAAGGATTCTAAAGTACCAACTCTTTAGATTTGATAGTTTTTTTAATTTTAAAACCTGCAAACAATAGGATTTGGTTTTTTTGTTAATCAGAATTGTCTAAGCTGATTTTGTCGAACTTTTTAAAGTTTGAAATTCAGTTTTATACACTCTTTTAATTATTCTGTTTTAAATTTGAAAGCGTTGCTCCCCAAAAATTTTAGAAATGAATGGAATATTGTTTTTATTTGTAGGATAATGGTTAAAAATTACATTTATTTAAATATTTGTTTGAAACTATTTTGTTTAATTGACAACAAGATAAATGTTAAAAGATAGAAAATAGCATCATAAGTCCAAATGCTGATTGATTAATATTAGGTCTTATTTTTCTCTGTGCGCTAAAGTCCACCAACTCTCATGGCCAAAAAGGCGTTTTGCAAACACAAAAGTACAAAAATGATCTCAGGCGTTGCTAATTATTTCTCTACGCCTTGTACATTGTTAGCCATTTCACGCCCCCGCCGCCCCTTTTGGCCACTCCATAGTACATACATATATAGCTCCCCCCGATTTCTGCAGTTACAGTTTCTATTGGTGTTTGTGTGAAGAGATGTTCAAATTGGTTTGCGCATCTTCAGCAAACAACACCAACACCAGGGCAACAACGAATATGGCCAACATAACTGAGCCAAGATTTTACTTTCATCATCAACAGCAGCAACAGCAGCAGCAGCCAAAGCCACAAGCAACAAATGAAATTTTGAAATTTTACTTTCATCCATTTATTTGGCGCTTTTCACTCTCCATTTCTTCGCCATCTTCTACCGCTCACAGTTTTCCACAATTATAAAAGCCAACAATAATATTTGCTTAATTGTCCCAGAGCAGAGTGTAGAAGTTAAATAATAGTTTTTTGTGTGTCTGGGAACTGAACTCTCTG